TATTTCTCATGATTTTACTGTAATGTTTCTTTATTTTTGACTGCAGTTGGTATTTGTTAACGACGTTCACACAGTAGCTTTTCTAAAAAGGAAAAATGCAGAAACATCTCTAAATGTTATACAAACTGACCTAACTCTGTGAAAGTTATTAACGCATTCAGGGAACTGGAAGGAAGGCCCAAAGCTAAGACGTCTCAGAGAGCATAGGAAGCTGAACACTGGCCGTGGCACACTCAGGGGGACTCCGTTAAAATACGAAGACAGAAGGAAAGATCGGGCTGGACTTTCTCACTGTCTCCTCCCGAACTGAGCCGCAGACCCCGTGCGGGTTTCCCGACCCACCTCGGGCTGTGTTCTAACCCCGGAGTGACTGACCTTGGACTCCGGGAGATCAGCACATAAACGTCACACAAGTCAGTCTAGCAAGGCTGCCTCCTGCCCTGGTTTCGCAATGTGGCGGAACAGAAAACAGCCCCATCTGTCGAGTGGGAACGGACTTGCCTTCAGACACCGTGGGCGCGGTGCCCAGCTGCCTAGATGTCCCAGCCAGGTGCGGGGCGGGCGCGGTACTCGGCTGCCTAGATCTCCCAGCCAGGTGCGGGGCCCAGGGCGGTACCCAGCTGCCTAGATGTCCCAGCCAGGTGCGGGGCCCAGTGCGGTGCCCGGCTGCCTAGATCTCCCAGCCAGGTGCGGGGCGGGCGCGGTGCCCGGCTGCCTAGATCTCGCAGCCAGGTGCGGGGCGGGCTCGGCGCGCGGCTTGCGTAAGGAGTCAGGCGGCTATGCTGGGAAAGCGCGCTGACCGCAGAGGGCTCCACTAATGTCGCTTCCTCTTCAGTAAGGAGGGACAAAGAAGGTTCCTGGATGAGATTTGTGCCTCCTTTAGCAAAAGCAAATTGCATGACTTTCTGTTTCTTTCCTCCTTTCCTTTCCTCCAGTTTTAGTAGTCATCACCTGCAGGGTATGTGAGTCGCCGGTGGCAGGAACACAGATGGGGGACAGCCCTGCCCTCGAGGGTGTCTCCTTGCGGTGGCACCTGCCCCATCGGCGCGGGGCGCACGGGCTGTGACACACACGGGTGTGGGGACGCGGGGGGCGCCGCCGTGGCTCTCAGGTTTGAAGGCGGCGAGGCGCGGGGAGGGTCAGGCAAAGCGTCAGAGAAGAGGGACACTTTCTAGAACACTGAGGGGCGAGTGGAAGAGGACAGGAAGGCGGGGAGGGGTGGACTGTCCTAGTCAGGACAGACAGCGCGAGCAGAGACTTGGAAGCGCCGGGCTTGCGGAGACCGCTGGCTGCCGAGCAGCTCGGTTTGCGACGGCGACAGCGATGTAGCGCCTTGCAAGTGTGTCCGCTCTGGTCAGCGATCCTTCGGCCTTTAAGTCCCAGGACAGTTACTCGTGGACCGGATCCCTCTCCTGGACCCGTTTTCTCTTTGCCTGACCTCCATTCCTCTTTAGCCCTTTCCTCCTCCTCTGCTCCTTGCTCCTTCTCCCCGACGACAGGATGTAGGTAGAGTTTTCCAAGTTCCGTATTTTCTTCTTGTCCAGGAGACAAGCCCAGAAGCCCTTTTCCTCTAAAGACTCTCACTGCTAATCTCCCTGAGGAAACAGGGAAACGAAAATAATGAGCCTGAGGAAGTTGTAAGAGTCCCAGAAGCCTTCAAAGTTCTCAAAGTCATGGTCTCTGGCCTTCTCTGTCACAGGCACTGGAAGCGTGCTCACTTCCTGTCCTCGCTATGATTCCTGTCTGGGGGGCTTAACAAACCCCTGTAGTAAAGCGCCATCTGACGCCTCCCTCTGTGACAGACCTTCTTTCCAGACCGTCGTCACGAGGAACACAGTGGGACAGAACAGTAACGAGACAGTTTGTAGCTTTTAGGATCTCTCATTTCACAGGTTCCTTCTCCTGTTTAAATTTTCATTCACTAAATATTATCTTCAGTCAGAGTCAATAATGATGTAAAAACTTTCAGGCTAATTTTTGTTAAAGCAAACAATCGTACATACGGAATAATGACTAGTAAATAGAGATAGATATGCACAGCAACAAAACACAAATGGTGGCAGATTTGTTTTAGCAGCTGCACATTGGATAGTGCTTTGTTTTCTAAATTTCCCAGTAAGAAAAATGTAGCTTTCATCATTGAAACATAAGATACTATCTACATATTTATTCAGTTAAAGTAATCCTGAGGATTATCTGTTCTTGGTGGAAACTATGATCGGAAAGAGCAGATTGCTATAACTGTGTCATTTTGCTCAGGATATTTACAGAAATTCCTTCCTAGGTTATGCTTTTAATATTTCCTCGAAGGAACTATCAGAGCTTTAAAATGAAGTCGGAAATGACCCTATGAGATCTCTGTTTTTAGAAAAACAACGAGTCGTTGTGGGTCGGAGGTGGGAGACGAGAGAGGACCCTTTCTGGGAGTCTGAGCCAGATGACAGGCTGCCCTTGAGCAGTGACAGTGACCTGGAGAGGAAGGAGCAGATGTGGGAAGCAGGCACTTCAAAGTAAACATGTCCAAAATTAAACCGCTTTTTTAAAAACTAGAATTCCCTCCCCCGCCCAGCAAATTCGCTCCTTTCCCCCTGTTTTGTATGTCAGTAAATGGTGCCCCTTCCATCCACCCCGCTGCCCAAGACATAAACCGACTCTCCACCCGCTTCTCCCGGCATCCAGTCCATCACCAAGTTCTGTTCTTTTCCCCAGTTGTCTCTTAAATCTCTCTCTCTCTCTCTGCTCCTTCGTTTAAGCCGCCATCCTCTCCTGCCTGAATTGTTTCAGGAGTTTCCAAACCGCTTTCCTTTGCTTTCATTCTCGCTCTCTGCCAGACCATTCTGCCAGAGTGGTTTTCCAAAACCGAACATCTGAGCCGGCTACTCCTCTACCTCAATGGCTTTTCAGTGCTTTTAGGAAACGGTCCAGATTCTTTTAAGTGGTTTCCACGACTTCGCCAGAGCTGGCCTTGCCTACCGTTCTAGCCTAGTTCCTTACCTGCTAGAGCAGCTCTTCTCTCGGGAGGCCCATCTTCATAATCATAGCCCTGGCTCCTCGTCATTCAGATCTTAGCTTAAAAGTTACCTAAGGAGAGGTCTTCACTTCCAGCTCATATTCAATCACCACCCGGTCAGCATCACCTCGCCCTATCTTAATTGTCTGTAGAGAACGTATCACTATTTGATAATTCTCTTATTAATTAGTTAATTAATTTGTCTAATTACATGCTGCTACCTTCCCACTGACTTTTTCTAATCTTCCTTCCAATCTGTTTCACATTTCTGGACTGGAAGCTCCAGAAGAGCTGAAACCTTACCTTTTTTGTTCACTCTTATTTCTCCTGATATATGCCAGCACTCAAAAAATATTTATTTATGTGATGAACGAATAAATAATCCATCTCCTGGAGACCAGTCTCTCCTCTTGTCAGTATATTTTGCATATTATTTCCATATTGACCTTCTTTAAACATCAATTTCATTGTGTCTGTCCCAGATTGAAGGATGTACAGCAGATCTTAATTGCCCACTGCCATCTGTGCATGCTTCCTACCTCTGTCTTATTTATTCATATTTGGTAATCATTCCAGTCCCCTTAATCTCTCTTGCGTCTGTCATCTCGCAGCATATTTAATTGACCGAAGAGAGAGATTCTAAGGCTAGCAGAATCTACATCACATAAGTTAACAGTTCTTTATCTGCATTGGTGGCTTGTCTTCTATGCTCCAAGTATATATATATATCTCGCTTTCCTTTGAGAATCGTGAAGGACGAACTCTCAAATTCCCTTTGAGAATTTGTTTATCTTAGAGAAAATGTCACAATATTAGGACAAAAATAACTTTCAGTAAATACCCATTCAATCTTTGGTGCTTGTAGAATGCCTCTGTCACAATGCTGTTGGAGCATGTAGTAGAAATACTGATAATACGCTTGCTTCCCAGTATAATGCCAGTATATACTGGGCTTCTGCTCTTTCTACTGGGTCCCATGCTTTTCTCTTATCTACCTAATTAATTTTTTAGGATGGATTCCTAGGAGTGGGGAAAGAAGTAATTCAAGGCCAAGGTTACCTAAGTCAATTACAAATGTAAAGAAATGTAATTCATAATGTTGGGACTAAGAGCATGAGATCAGAATCAGACAGACTTGGATTTGAATCCCGGCTCCACTCTGATTAACTGGGTAACTGTGGACATATTGCTTAACTTTTCTGAGCTTTGCTTTCTTGATTTGTGAGGCTGGAATAATCATGAATACTGACCTCACTGACGAGCAAATGGCGTAACATGAAAATACTTAGCATAGAGCCTGGCACAGTATCAGAAATCAATAACTGTTATTTATTGCTATGACCATAGAACTCAGCTTTTTTTGTCCACTTCTATTCTTCCAACATAAATTACTTGTTAAAATATTGGCACCCCATTAATAAAGTATTCCGCCTCTAAGTGAAAACTTTTAAATGGGGAAGTAGCAATGGAGTGGATTCCATTTTTAATAGTCTTCTACAAAGGACAGCGACTCACAGCTGATGTAAGTAGCAGGGAAATGGGGGCGTTTGTAGGAAAAGAACATTATAATTGAGATTTAGTAATAAGCCCTGGTTATAATTTTAGGTTTCCAAAGTTTTAAAGGGCTGGAAAGTGTGATAAAAAGAGAAGTGAGTGCTTGATTAAAATGGAAGTACAGTATAGTTAATTTTCTGCTATAATGTCAGCACTTCAGTTTAAAATTATAGAACGGATTAAGCAAAATGTAAAAAGCTAAAAATAATGTGTATATTTTCTTTTAAATGAGAGTTTAGAACTAGTGTGTTTAAAAGTAATTTTTTTAAAAACACTGTATATTGAAAAGGTACTGTATAGGTTTGCAAATTAGATTTTCATTAACGATAGCTAAAACGGTACAACTTTGAGGAAATCGATTTTGGTAAAAGTTTCTTCTGGTTTGTTTTACCTCCAGACAAAAGTCTTTTGTTTGTTGCTTTCTGTGTAATTACAGGGTGTAGGAAAAAACAAGATCGTTGACAGATTCCTTCACCTGCTCAATAGACCACGAGAATATATCCAGCTGCACAGGTAAGAGGAGAAGACCCACAACCTCTTAAAATCTGGTTTAATCATTTATTTTTTTTCCCCTGGTACAATTTAAAAATTACTTTCTTAAAGGCCCATTTTATAAACATGTTTCATTTCTGTTCCTCCTGCTCATATTTCTCCTCTCCTTAAAAGGTAACAAAACCATGCAAAATTTATTTTTAAAGTGACTAATGCTTTATAAACATGAATTAATAGATATTTTGTGGACAGAGAGTGATGAACATTATATTCTAGTAACAGATTTCATCAACATAAAGACTCTTAAATTAGAATAAAAATATGTAGAGGCTAACCCCACTCTAATAGGAAGCTAAAATAGCTCACAGAGAGAAACAATAAATGATATGAATCTCAGGTATGAGATAAGGAACTCAAAAATATGGAAGAAGTAAATGATTCGTGTCCTTGCCTTCCTTAAAAACATTTTGTGGGTTATCTAAATTTGTGTGGTCAGAATGATGGTTAGGGATAGCTTTTAGTTAAACAGAATCAAAGAAATTTTCTAGACATGGATTGAGTTTAGATTTATCCGTAAACCTGCTCCAAATCTTTTAAAAATAAAACATAAGCAGATCCAGAGAGAGAAAGAGAGAGAGAGATCAAGGAATATATCAAGTAATAAGCAACTTTAAAACTAGATTAAATTATTATTGTTTTTTCTCCCAGGAGATAAAAAATATTGTAGTAGAAACAATATTGGATTGAGTTACAAAAATTTTTTTGTTTTGGGTCCTTTCACTAAATAATGATGTGTTCTTAAAAGAAAACTAAGAGAAAAGAAGGCAGAGTCAGTGGGCAAAGGAGAAGAAAAGTAAACCTGAAGGACGGTCAGAACCTACCTCTCGGAATTCACACCTCTGGCTGCGATGGTGTAACTGGTACCAGATCAGTCCTACCGCAGGGAAGAGCTATAAAACTAGGCAAGATTCACAAACACTGGGAAAAGAACAGCAGCCAGGGACAGCTGTGAGCCGAACAACAACCAGATCTCCCACGTGGTCAGGAGCCATCATGAAACATTGCTGGTATTCAGAAGACACCCCGAGAAGTCTGTGCAGTAGAAGTAGCACCTGTTTATCCATTAAATAAAAGTAACTCTACACCCACCCTTACAAAGTGTCAAAAATAAGCCTTGGCAAAACAAGAATACTTGCTATTTAATGTTATTTTGGAAGTGTTTCTCATACAAAATGACTTTAAAAATTAAGGGGATGAATATTAGAGGGAGAAATGCCTTGAAAAGTTCAAGTTGATTCAACAGTAAATTAACTGCTTAGCTGAACAAACTGAATCTTGAATGAAGGAAGACGACAAAATCTAGACATTCAACAACATAGCATCATGATGTAAAGCAGTCAATGGGAAATTAATAGATATACAAAGAAACAAGAAAATCGATTAATAGAAATAGACACCGAAATGATAGATAATGGAGTTAGCAGACAAGAACTATAACATATTGCTATAAATATGTTCAAGCATCTTGAGAGGAAGAAAATGTACATGAAGGGATTATTAGGAATTCTCTGTAGCAACCCTAGAGAAGCAGCCTCACATATGAGCAATCAGAGTCTAAAAGAAGGGAGAAAGAATGGAGCAGAAAAATATTTGAAGATATAAATGACGGAAAAAATCCGAAATTGAATGAAAAATATAAGGTCGATCCAGGAAGCTCAGGGAAACTCAAGCGGGATAGACTGGAAATTCAAGCGGGATGACAAGTTCCTTGTAATCAAATTGCTGAAAATTGAAAGAGAAAATCTCTAAAACTGCCAGAGGAAGAAAGACACACATAGTCGCCCTTATCTGCGGAGGATATGTTCCAGCCCCAGGTGGACACCCAAAACTGTGGATAGTACCGGATCCTAAATATACTGTTCTTTCCTATATGTGCGTACCTTTTCACTTAAAGGAAGCACTGTATGGCTTTTCTTTGGCATATCCAAGTTGCCAGAATCACTCTTCTTACACTTTGGGGCCATAATTAAGTAAAATAAGGATTACTTGAACACAAACACTGCAATACTGCAACAGTCGAACTGAAAACCGAGATACCTACTAAATAACTAACAGCCGGAGAGTGTATACAGCCTGAATATGCTGACCGAAGGATGCTTCACTTCCTGGGCGGGATGGAGCAGGACAGTGCACAATTTAAATTTTAAACTTCCTCAACTTGATAAGAGGCATCTATGAAAATCTACAACTCACTTGTATTTAATGGCAAAAAACTAAATGCTTTCCTTCTGTGACTGTGGAAAAAGCAAGGATTTTCAGCATGATGCTAGTGCAATAAGGCAAGAAAAAGTAATAAATGGCATACATACTGACATGGAAGAAGTAAAATTGGATCTTTTTAGACATTGTGTGTATAAAAAATCCTAAGAAATCTACAAAAAAATAAAAATGAAAACCATCAGAACTAATAAGTTGAGTTGAGCAGGGTCACAAGATACAAGGTCAAAGGGAAAAGTCAAATGGACAGTAGGGAAATAAATTTTTTAAAATACTATTTACAATAGTGTGAAAACATGAAAAATTTAGTAATAAATTTAACAGCATATGTGCAGATTTTAATTTGCTAATTTTAATAGAGCCTAACAAGATCATCTCAACTCTTAAACTTCTGTAGGTCACCTGCATAGTTTCAGAAAATTTCTAGCCTATCCACATATTCTCTCATGGTTCTCCTTTGTATTTCTGATGCCTTAAATGAACCTAGTAGTTTCAACTCCCTTTTTTTAAAGAATTTACTATGTTGAGATTACAGGGCTAGGTGTCATAGGTGATATAGAAAGAAATAAGAAACAATCTTTATGTTTAAAGAGCTATAATACTGTTCTCGATTGTCATTATTTCATCCTTCGCTGTTCACTGAATTTGAAAAACTCTTCCTTTTTTTCCCCTTACCTTTAAGCTTTTCCATCAGTTTTTCTTCCCACATGGACAAAGTTTAGGGAAAATAATGAAAGAATCAAAATGTTTAAGTAGTTTGCTACTTCACCTGAATAACTTATTTATAACAAGGCACGGTCCAGTTTTTGAGCCACAAGGCACATGGCGTGACCCATTTCTTGCATTTTAAGGATGGTACCGTGAGCGCCGCAGTTAAGCGGCGTATGTGCCGTCAGAGTGAGCTCTGCAGCTGTTCATTCTTAGGAGAATTTGTGTTGTTTTGTTTGCTTTCTGTTTCATTTTGAATGTTTAATGGTGCCCTTAAAAACATGTAATTAACTGAAAGTTTTAATGAATGTATATACTGATGCCACTTAAACATGTATCAATTTAGAGCAAAAACAACTTGATTTAAATTTTGTATTTTAAAATAATCAAGCAGAAAACCAACTTTCTCTTAAGAATGACTTCAGCAGTTGAAATCAGCTCTCAAATTTATGCTCCAGAAAGAAGGAAGTCACTTTATAATGAGAGTCCCTTTTTATAGTGGGGCAATTTTTCCGTTTCTTTATATCAGACAACAAAATATTGTTAAAGAAAGATACATTAGGCTCTGCTACCACAATCAATTCTGGTTGTAGATTATGGAGATTCCTTAAAACAATCAGCAAAAAAGGAGGCAAAGAAATATAACTGTTTTTTTAATAATTATTCCTGAGTGTATGTCACCATTATGCTCATACTCAGGGCTTTGGCTTATGATCTATTATCTTTAATAGTTATAAGAAGTTTTGATGCATCTTATTTTTCTAGGAATTGTTCCTTGACTTCTAATTATTGGTGTAAAGTTCTTTATAATATCATCTTTTGATATTTTAACATCCTCAGCTTGATCGATGATATCCTCATTTTTATTCCTGGTATTGGTTACTTGCCCTCCCTCTTTTTTGCATGATCAGTTTTGCCAGGGGTTATCAATATTATTTGTCTGTTCAAGCAACCAGCTTTTGTCTTGTGGAACCTCTCTTTTATATGTTTTTCTATTTCAGTAGTTTCTGACCTTATCTTTATTTCCTTCCTTTTATTTTCTTTGGATTTAATATGTTATTTTTTATTAAACTTTTTTTATATGAATTCTTAATCATTGAGTTTCAACATTCAATTTATATATGTGTTTGAGGCTATCTGTCTTTCAATCTCTCTTTTAGGTTCATCTCTAAGTAAGAGGAATAGACAAGGTCATTTCTAATATCTCTTTTAGCTCTATATTCTAATTGTTTTGAACAGGCAAGAAGAAGGCAGTAGTCAAGGACCTTTAAAAAGTTTAGATTAGAGATACCATACCATTCTACTTGCCTAGAATGTCTTTTATACCAGCCTTTGGTTGTGAATTAGCGAATGATCTGTAAGTAATAAATAATTACATGCTGTTTGTTTATATTTGTTCTAATTCTGACACTGGCTACATAAATATGTAATATGTTATGTATGAAAAAACTTTCTAAATTCAAAATGTAATAAAAATTTCATAGCCATTATAATATTATTGATCAGTGATAATATCATAAAATAATATATTTACTTTAACAGGGGCTCTAGATATCTCTATTTGGCAATATTTGATATTTATTTTGTAAAGTCATCATTTCTGTTTAAAATATGTCATATTAATTACTTATCATTAATTAAACTGACATTTCCATTAATTTCAATGTAAGGAGTATTATTATTATTATATGCTATTAGGGCTGTATTTGCCATAAAATTTAAGCTCAAAAATTGCTTTAAGAGAAATATTTATTTTTAAAGACCTAAAAACAGCAGTCAGAAAAAAATGTTTAGATTTCTCTGATCTATGGGTGGCCTACTTAAGGCCTTTATTTTAGATTCCTTTGAATGGATTTGAGATGTTACCATCTAAATAATCAGTCACATTCTGTTTAGTTTATGAATGTCATACCAACAAAATTGGTTATGAGCCATCAAAACATAATCTTGATAAGTAAAACCATCATCAAACATACATGAATGGCCATCTTATACTGATCAGATCTCATAAAATAAGCAAGCTGGGCAATTTATGT